CAATAGTCAATCACTGTACTGGGTGACCTTGTTACTTGGTTGTATTGTACCAAGAAGGCTGCAACCCTGTAACACTATTAATTAGATCATTAGAATTTAAACTAAAAAAATAATATATTAAACTGGATTTAATATATTAAAAACAGATTATAATATTATTAGACTATTTAAATTAAGAGTTTTAAAACAAAGCAAAAATATACTATAAATATTAAAAATATGCTATAAAGTTTATATTAGATTTGAGTAAACTCTGCAAAATATATAACCTTGTTAATATTCTATAAAGTAAGTAGATTAGTTAATAGAAAAACACTTTAAACTTTACAGTCAAGTAATATGTTTTAAAGCAAATAATAACTTAATAATTATATAGAAAAAAAGACTAAATGTTGAATTAAATAGTACTTAAAGATATAAGAACCAGTATGCTATTTGTTTTATATAGTATAGAAATTAAAGTGTTTAATTGGATAATTTTTTAGCAGATTACAAATATAACAACTAGTATAGAACCTGCAAACAAACTATCTAAATAGGTATTAAAACTTGTATATATGACTAATTGTATATTCATCTTGTACAAATTATATAAATATAATTAAAAACATAATAAAGATGGTAACTGCTATTAATATCAGCTTTAGCAAAAGCAAAAAAAAAAAAAAGTTTATTGTATAATTTTTAGCCTAAAATTTTTTTTAATTATAAATTTTTAAAAAGTGCTTACAATAATATAATAAGTAACTGTATATTATTATTTTATATTTTATAATTATGTTATCTATTTACTAAATATATATATTTAAAAAATTCTTACTTGTATAAGTTTTCTATTTTGATTTTTAAATTAGATTCTAAATTTTTTTTATTACTAAATTTTCTGTTTTATATATATAACTGCAAATATTGACTTAGGTTATAGTATATATACAAGTAACTATTTTAAATTAACAATAAAAATACAAGCAAAACTTTAATACAAAAAAAAAATTAAACAGTATATATTATTAATAAAAATATAAATAGCTAAATAATATATATGTTGCTTTTTTAAAATATTTTTTGCTACGTATACGTACTCCAGATAATAATATGTACGTAGTAATAACGATAATATATGTATACTGTTATATATATGTATATATACAGTATATTACAATATATAACGATAATACATATGTACGTTATTTCTTCGGACTTTATCTAGTTTTAATTTTCCAAGTACGTACATAATACCATCATATTTATAGACACATAAAGGGTTATTTTTATAATATATTTTGTAAGCAGTATTACTTTTTATATTTCTAAAATTAGATTAGGTTGATGATCAAGTTACTTAAACTTATGCATGTTGGAGTACACATTTAACATCTAATGTGATACGACAGATCTAAGAAAAAAAAGTTTTTTTTAGAATTCGTTGTATGCAAACCTTTCTCTTTACGCAAAAGGTAAATCTTCAACGTCATTTTCTTTGATTTTTTTTTTGTTTTACATGGTTACGTTGAACGAACTTGATCGCCAATGCACTTATACAGCTTATTTTAAATATTCTGTAATACAAAATTACCAATAAACCATTTCATTACTATCACATTTATTGCGAACTTAAATTATTTTGATATGTCACAACTATTCCATAGCAGAAAAAAAAAATTCGAAGGATTTGAAATAAGGATGTTTGTGTACTCATCTTTTCGGCGAATAAGATTCATTATCACAAGTGACAATTATTATTTTCCATCTTGTCACATCGATTCAACCGAAAATTTAAAGTTTTAAAAAAAGCCAAATTTCTGGGTCGATTGATCACAGACAGGCGATACGGTCTTCTATAAATTAAGACAGTAATTTTTTTAAAGACAAATTGTTTTGGGAAGGAGAGCTTTGGGCAACAAACATTCTAAAGTTCTTCAGGCACGTTTTACAGAACTCTATAATCGATTTATTAAAAATGAAGAAGATGCAGCGACGAAATGACTTTTTCATTTGTGGAGCATGTTTGTTGACTGGTTTTGGAAATCTCTTCATACAAAGTAATTTTTTCGAAATCAAAAAAATTTCGAAACCATATTAAATAGAAAAAAGAATTCACAAATGAGATGATTGGCCAAATCTGATCACAAGGTCAAGTGAGTTGTGATCAATTTATTATGACACCAGCAGGCATAAATGTGACATCATAAAACTTGCACAATTTGCACCATCTGGGACTTTTTAAAAAAACCATTTGTTTGTTTTCAAGGTGACGTTTGCGAACAAGCCTCACCACTTTTCACCGATGCCCCAAGAGCAGAAGCAAAAGAAGAAACGGGTTCCAATCACTGCCCTCACCAAGCAAGAGATATGCATTAAAAAAAGAGAAAATATGAAACTCAGAGACGAGGACCTCGCCAAAGAATATGGTCTTGACCGAAGTACGATCACAAAAATCCTCAAGCAAAGAGATAAATGGTTAGCAATTGACCCAAATTCTAACTATGCAAAACAAAAGACACAAAAGTCTCCAAAGTTTCCACAAATTGAAGAAGCTTTGGCTCAATGGTTGACGATTACCATTGCTCAGGGAAATGCCGTCAGCGATGGACAGCTCCAAGAGAAAGCGCTTGAATTTGCTCAAATGTATGGACTTCGTAACGAGTTTCAGGCCTCAAATGGTTGGATATCAAAATTTAAAAATCGTCATCAAGTTCGTAGTGGCGATAGCTCGGGTGCTCCAGATGTTTCTTTACAGATTACACCTCAATCAGCGCCTATCACTGGGGCAGTTTTATCGGCATCTGAGCATTCAAATTTTAGTAGCACAGTTAGTTTGGTAAGTGCTTCAAAAGTTGAGATTTGTGAAAAATATAAATGACTGACGTCATTCTGTGACTTATTCTATTGTCACATTTTTCGAATTTTCAATTTTTTTTTTTGCTTTGCTCTGCACAAAACATTCTGAATTGAATTTCATCTGTTTATTCCGTTTTTTGTGATCATCAGCCACCCACTTCCAACTATACAACTCCTCAGTCAATAACTTCAACGACAAACAGAACGAACGGGACAAATACATTAATTGGTTCCGCTTCTAGCTCACCTTACATTACGTTTGGGGCTTCGACGTCAAACTCAATGGGACCTCCTTACACTCCTTCCAGAATTTTTCCTGTTTTAACCATAGCGCCTCATATCCCATTAGAGAACGCAGCGTATGTGACAAGTGATTGAAAATTAATTTAAAATTTAATCTTTCAAGTCAATCTTTGATGCGTGTTTCTGACCTTCATAAATTTTTTAAAAATCCATAGATTTATATTCTGTGATTATCAGAATGACGTAATCGGAATGTTTGTATTTTTCGATTTTTGGCATAAAACTAATTTTACATGAGAATCAATGATTTCATAAAGAGAATGGGTTTGACATTCATAAATCTAATAAAAACTCTCTTTCAACTATTTCAGGTTCCAAACCAGCAATACTTTAAATCAATTTCTATCACGTTCAAAACAACTATTTACGGCCGTTCATCAAGCACAACAAAAGAAGAATATTAGTTGCTTCTCTGTCGGTCTTTATGTGAGTTAAATGATAAAAATTTTCAAGAAATTTATTTTCATTTTAAAGGCCAAAAATTTTAACCCAATTAAATTGAAATTATCTAATAGTTTCGTCCCGGTTATCCTGAAGTTTCTCCAAATAACCGTCATTTTGAAAACTTGAAAAGTTTAGGAAGACTTGTTGATGGCACTAAAGGAGCTGAGTTCATTGATGGGATGGTTCCAAGAGATGTGAGAACAAAATTATTTTAATCTAAGTCAATCCAAATTAATTTGTGATTTTAATCTAATAACATTTTTATATAAACTTAGAATGATATTGTAATTCAAGTATGTATTAAAAAAGATTTTCTACATTCATGTCAAAAACTGAGTCTTGAGTTCACAAACATATGTTTTATTTTTCAAGAAACGTCGAACAGATGCGTTTTATAATACGGACTTGCAGATGATTCTCGAGTCCCGGAACATCCATCACATAATTTTATCTGGCATCGCAACGGGTGATGTAATTCTATCTACAACTCGTTCTGCTGCCGACAGAGATATGAGCATTACTGTCGTACGAGATTGTTGCTTTGATGGAAGTGATCTGGTTCAAAACGTTTTAATGGACGAAATCTTTCCCAAGCAAGGCGTTATGGTTGTTTCTTTTGAAGAAATTGTAAATGGTTTAAGATCAATTTAAATGGAGAGTAAAAAGTAAAATACTTAACGTTTCCGGTTTTCTTTTTTCGTGTCCGAGATTTGGTCGCTCGTTTCTTTCACTTCGTTTTTTTTATCATCTCCGAAAATAGCAATGGGGGTTATGAATCGATGTTCATTTACCTTACAATCGAGGACTAATCATTCTCATTTATGATTTTTCACTTTTTACCGTTTTCTTTTTTTTTTTGGGTTTTCGTTTCTTCATATTTAAATTGGGTATGTATAGGGGTCTGAAGTCACATAGGAGGCTCCGAATAGGCATCTTTCTTAAAACAAAAACAAAATCACCCCCTTTGCTACGGATGTGATATATGTTTACTTTTTACCTTCATCTTTACTCTTTTCTACATCGTTTTTTTTTTCTTTAATTTGTTTTTTCATCCTTTCGATTCGATTCGTATATATTTAATTTTCTCCCCAAACAACTATTTCGTAAATTCGTGTATATAACCTTTATTATGAACAAAACTAACATCGTACTTACTCCTTTATTTTTCTTTTTTTAAGCTATAAGGCAAAAAAAAAATTTTTAAAATTAAAAAAAAAAAAAAAACAAAAAAAATCAATAAATAAATTCGAAAAGAGCTTTTGGCACGGTTTTATTTCAGGAGGATAAAATTTATACACCAAATCTATGGTGTACTATTTAAAATTATATTTTTAATATTTGATTATGATCAAAATATATCTTGAACCATTTCCAATTTTTAAGTGTTTAATTGCTCATAGATGAATTGCTCATAGACGAATAGCTCATAGACGAATAGCTCATAGACGAATAGCTCAGACAAGTAGCTCATAGACGAATAACTCCGACGAGTAGCTCATAGACTAGTTTAAAAAAACATAGTATCTTTTATTGTCTTTTGAATTATTTTAATAATTTGAATGTTTTATTTTTATTTTTTCTTTTTTGTCTTGAAAAGATTATATATTACGTATTTCTTCACTATAACAAACATCACATCTTTCAAAAATATACAATATTTTTAATCCAGTTTATCCAATTATGAATATTACTACATATAAGCTTAAAAGCTTACAATGGCATTTTATAGTGCAAAGGGTAATGCTCCATGATCTGAACGATCCGAAACTGCTGTTACATTAAATTTATATCGGTCATGACCCATATAATAAACTTATTATAACTGGGTCAGTTTCGGGTCATTCAGATCAACCCCATTAGGAGTATTAGTAAAGGGTTAATTAAGTTATAAGTTAAACCATGAAACGTGTTATAATGGAATGTACAAGTCGATATGCATTAATCGACTTAATCAACTTAGCCGATTCTTTTAAAACTTTGACATTAAAATATCAGGAATTGAATCATAACGATAAGTATTGCCTTTATTTGCATTAGTTTATTTTATTTGCATCTTTATTAAATTATATTATTGTTTTTATGGTCTTTTATTTTGGAGTGAAGTTGACATATGTTACGTATAGACTAGTCATATTCAAAAAATTTTTAAGAACATGTTTAATTAAAAAAATTTCAACAATTGAATAAGACAAGATTTTGAGCAATAAAATTATTATTATTATAGGCAGTATCGTCATTTCTATTAATAATATTAAATCTAATAACTGTTATTTTAAATTATACTTTTAGGATTATATATACTATAATATTAAGGTTTAAAAATAAATTTATTATATTTTAATTAAATATTTTTTCTTAACAATTTACAAATTTATAAAAAATATTTAAATTATATAGTTTTTAATTTATAATATTTTTTTTATTATATAAACTATTTTTTGTCTATTAATGTTTTTTATATTATTTTACATATAGGATTTTTTTTTTAAAATTTAAAAAAATTTATCAAAATAATTTATAAATAAGTATTTGTAAATATAAAAAATATAGTAATTTTATATAAAATATACTTATATAGAATTTATTTTTTTTTGAACTTTGGTAGCATTGCCAGTTAGTTTATTAGGCTTAATTTTTATAATACAATTATGGTTATAAAATTATTTAGTATTATATAGCTATTCTAAATTATTCTACTAACTTCATCCAGTTACCTATATGACTCTTAAGTTTGTATCTATTACATGCCTGCACACAATCATCTTTAGCCATCACTTATAGTCAAGATGTATCATTAAACTGCTACACAAACAAGAATATCTTTACAACTTAATATGATACTCTAATGTCAGAGATATTATCTTTTATAATTATATATATGTGTTCTATTTATATGTTTTTACCTAGTCTTGTTCCTTCTGTCTCCTAATTTAACTATATCTAGTAATACCTTGTTCCTCATATTTCTCATCTTTTTATTATTGTATTATTTTCAAATTGGTTCTATTTAAATATGTTTAATTCTTATAATCTTTTATTTTTGGTATATTTGTTATTGTTTTTTCTAAAATTTTTTGACAATAGTCTAGGATTTGCAATGAACCTGTATCTTAAGTCAGACCTGCTTTTATCATTAGTCTTTTCAACTAATCTGTATCTTAAATCAGATTTGCTGCTATCATTTTTATAGATGTTTTAGGTTTTAATATTATATAGTAACTTGATATTACATATTACTTTTATTACAGTATTCTCTTTTATAATAGAGATTAAGACTTATTATACTTACAATTAGGACAATTCTGATTATATCTAGAGAGTTTCTCTAAGCCTAGTGATATTATACATATTACTATATATTGCAAGCTACTAGCTTATTTAATAATATTTGTAGAACAATTCTGGTTAAATTCAAAAAGTTATATTAATCTAGTGATGTCATATTACTTTGCAGATTTTATCTTATATTGGTTGGTTGATTTCAGTTTTGTTTATTATAGACTTCTATATAAGTATGACCAGAACCTAATTTGGTGTTTTTTCTTTATACAAAAAAGTTATATGCTAATTTCTAAGATTTTCTCTTTTATAGTTAAATTATTTAGTTGTATCAGAAATAGTTCTAATTTTGATCAAACTAATCTTCTATTACAGATTATTCTTATATTTACTGTTTCTTTTACCATTTCAGTTATAATTATTTTCAGATTACTCTTCCAATCAAATCTTTTTTTTAAATTCTAATTAGGACTTATTTATACAATTTGTTAATTATTCTTTTAAGTAAGTAACTACAAATTAGATGCAAAAATGTTAATAATACTTATATTAAGAGGTGTAAGAATGTTAGTACTGCTCTAGCCTTAAGGACTTATATGTACAATCTTTCTATAACTGTAATGTTCTATAATACTACTGTTATACAAAATACCTACACTTCATAATTGGGTTTTTTTTCAAGAATTTCTTTATTTCAAATTTGTATCTATACTTGAACTTTTTTCATATATGGCTTTACATTTGATTAATGACTCTAATAAATTATAGAGACAAAATTGCCTCTAGTCTGACTTGAATTATTAATCTTGTCTGTAAAGAGTTTAGAAGTTTACTACTAAGTTATAAAACCTAAAGCTATAGCAAATTTATAAAATTAATAATTAATATATTTTTAAATAATATAAATATAAAATATATAATAAAAGATTTATCTTATATATATAAATATAAATAAAATTTTTAAGCTCTAAAAAAATTTATAATTACAACTTTTTTATATAAATAGAAAGTTGTTGTTTTCATCTTTTATTTTTGCTAATATTACTTTTTAAAATACATAAAAGTGCTCTAAAAAAGATATTATTATTAAATAACCTTCTTTTTTAATATTAAGTAAAGTTATTTATTAGATCTTTCTGATTCTAATAATGATAAAATTATTAAAATCAGACTAGTAGTTTTTTATTAAAAATAAATTAAAGATTATAAAATTTAGATATAAATATTTTAAAAACTATTAGTCTGATCTTAATGATTTTATAACTATTAGAACCAAAAAGATCTAATAAATAACTTTAAATTTTTTTTTAACTTTAGTAGTCATGCTAGTACTTTATTAGTATTTTTGAAACTATACAAATTATATAGAATTTCTTAATATACAAATTTAGTATTACTCAATCATCTAGATGATATCTAAGTGTAATCTGTTGCATTATCTTAGTTAGAAATAAAATGCTCATCTAACTGCTGTTCTACAATAGGACATACCAATCTGATAACATCTTTTTGTAAGAAAACAAAAAAACAAAAAAAAATTTTATATAAAAAAAAACTAAAATATAAAAATAAATAATAAAAAATAATATTAAGCAATAAAAAGCCAATTATCTAACTCTCTTTATAGATTACTAAAACTAACTTTTCTTTAACAAACAATTCAATTTTCTTAACATTTTATTAAACTAACAGCTTTGAAACTTTTAATTAAACTTTTTTTTTGCAACTTTTTGTCTTAAAAACAATACAAATTTATTTATATTTAATCTTTCAATACAACAAACTCTTATATTTTAATAAAATTATCTTTATTTTAACTTTTTCAAATTTATACTTAATTAAACTCTTTATTTCTAAGTAAACTAAATATACTAAACTTTTTGCTTTCAACTATACTAATTTTATTAAATTATAACTATTATATTATATACAAACTAATGTTTCTTAAAAAAATATACTTTCTCAATTTTCATCAAATTTTACTAAGCAAACTTATTTTTTTCATTAAACAAAAATATCCAGCTCATTGAGACAATTATTTTAACATAACTTTTATCTTTAACGAACCAAAACTTATTAAGTTATTAATATTTTTTTTCAAACTTTTATTCAAACTTTTTTCTGAAATTCTATTAGTTAATTTTAGAAAATTTACAAGATTGAACTAAAAATTTTACTTTTTACCAACCTTGAAAATATCTAAATACCCAATATTTTTTTAAATTTCTTTAAAAGAACCTAGAAATTTTATTGACTCTTTGGAAAATTTACTGTTAATTTTGAAAAACTCAATTTTCTTGTTCAATTCTTATTTTTTTTAGCTGCTTTTTTTTGTTACTTATATTATAAAACATTCTATTCATACTATAAAG